TGTTTCGGTGTTCTTCTTCATCTTCTGTTGTCGTATCCTCAGGATAGAATTTGTTTGCTAGGGCCTTTGCCGATTCTACTCCGTTAAGGGTTTGTCCATTTTCCGTGATGGGTAGTTCTTCCTGTCTTTTGGTTGTTCTATTTATGACTCTGTATATACTGTCCCACATTGATTCTTTGTCCTGTTTTGTACAGAAAGATTTCCAGCTGGATGTTTGTGCTTCCTTTATTTCTTTCTCATACTCTTCTTTTGCTTTCAGGTATTCTTCAACTACTTTTCTTCTGCGGATTGGAGCGGCGCAGGCTATCCTTCTCTTCTTCGTGAGGACCTCCTTCTTCTTTTTAGTAAGCGCTTCTGTCCACCAGGTAAGTTTGATTTTTCTATTTTTGGGTTCTTTTTTAAAACAGTCGTCGCATGCGTTTTGTATGGAGTTGGTGTAGTTTTGGACTATTGTGTCTAATTGTTGGGGGGTTGTGGTTTGCTCTATTTCTTGTTTGTTAACGTTATTCTTTTTTAAATTTGCTTCTAATTTTTCTTTAAATTCGTTCCAATTTGCTTTTCTTGTGTTGTATTTTCTTGTTGTGCGTTCGATGTCTGTTCCTATTGATTTTTCCAAGTTGATTGTGAAGGTTAGTGCTTTGTGGTCTGAATTTATTATGCTACTGTCGGTGCGCCAGTTATCTATTTTGTCTAATAATGTTGTTGAGCATGTTGTTATGTCCACACAGCTGGAGAATCTCTTGTCTCCTCTGACTGCGTCAAAGGTAGATTCAGATCCAGTATTTAGGAGATGTAGTTCCAACTGGTCCAGTAGTGCTGCCATATCCTCACCTCTACTGTTTGTGAACCGGCTTCCCCACCACGTGTTCCATGCATTAACATCTCCTCCTAATAATATGTTTTGTGTATCTATGTTGTCTACTGCTCTCTTTATGCCTTCCAAGTAGGGTTCTATGGGTTTATCTCCTTCCAGATATATCGAGATCACTCCTATCTCCCATGATCTTGTTCTTAATTTTACTACCGCTATATTTTCTGTTGTTAAGTTTGGATATTGTGTTATATTAATGGTGTTGTCAAATAGTATAATTGCTGATTTTATAACTTTGTCTGAGTTTGGTGTTCTTGTGTATTGGATTACTCTAGTTCCGGGATATTGTTTAACTTCTCCTATGCTTCCTATATACGGTTCTTGGATCATGGCAAAAGTGAGCTTTCTCGACATGGCTTCTAGTATGAGTTCCGCTGTTGCGGTCTGACTGCGTTGTAGGTTTATTTGTAATGCTTTATATTTATGGGTGTTATTTACTATAGTTGCCTCCTGGGTGCCCTCAGCAATGGTAAGCTACTTTAGCCCTTGCTATACGCTCCCACTTCTTTCTTATGGGGCATTCCTGACTGAATGCATTATGGTTGTTCTTTTC